TATCATCTCCAGCTCTGAGATCCCGGCTGGCTGAAAGCTGGTTTCTGGGGTTTTGTTTAGCTTCTATATTTGTTACAATGTTTCAAACTGCCAGCTCAGAGGCCGGCAAGGCAGGCGGGGGACGTTGGAGTCCTCCTTCACTGAAGCAAGCAAGCCTCATGTTCGCTTCCAGCTGCCTGGCTGCCGGCCGCCATCTTGGCTGGCAGTTAATTTGCATATTGCCCTGATTAGCCAATGGGAAGGGTAGCGGTCGTACGCTAATTACCATGTTTCTCTTTTATTAGATAGGATGTGAGGTTTAAATATACAATTTTAAGTCATAGCTATTAAATGCAAACTGACATTTGAATACATTGTCCCAGGGCCAACTCACATGAGATGATCAAAATAAGCACCCTAATAAGAAGCTTTAGGATAAGGTCTTTATTTTTGAGATGACATAGAGGTAACAAGAACGTGCTTCCCACAATCTCCCCCCTACATGCCAAGACAGGATGCTCTAAAAGGGGATGGATGTAATAGTGATTCCAAGAGGCAAGTTGTGTACTACGCAGTCCAGCCTATGAACAAAGCTCAATCTCCCCAAGATGGTTCATCTTCTCCCATCAGAAATGGGGGCCTGCTTTTCTCCGGTCCCCTCACTCCTAAGAATGCCATATCATCTGCAGGGCCTTACTTCCCAATGACCCAACTGCTTCATAGTATTTTTCTTAAAACAGCAAAATATAGTAGTTTTATTTCTCAACATTTGCTGACAATGTTAGTGTTGCTTTTTAAAAAAAAAAAAAAAAATCATAGTACTTGTGCTAAAATACATGCTTGACCCTTGTCCTTTTTTCATCTCCTAAGGCAGTGGTTCTCAACCTTGGCTGCACATTAGAATCACCTGGGAATCTTTTTAAAATCCTGATTTCTGGGCCTCATCCTCCGGAAATTCTGTTTCTTTGTTACTAATGTTGTGGCCCCACCCCATAACAAAGAAACAGAATTTCTGGAGGATGAGGCCCAGAAATCAGGATTTTAAAAAGATTCCCAGGTGATTCTGATGTGCAGCCAAAGTTGAGAACCACTGTCCTAAGGCAAAGTGAGCCTTAAGAAATACTCAGGTGAAAGGAACTAAGGTTCTTGAGTATTTATTGTTCACTAGATTGCTCCTTAGGGTAGAAGTCTATCTTATTTATATTTCTGTTTCAGCCATTACACAATATTTGGAATATAGTAGATACTCAGTTGATGTTTGTGGATAGCTAGATGGATAGATATTGAGCAGGGGAGGTGTTCATATTCCTGTTTTAGGTATGGAAAAATATAAGCATAGAGGGGTTACCACCATGGTTGTGATATAAAACTTTTACGTTTTAAAGTCCACATGTGAACTCAAGTCATCTGATTTTAAAATTAAAGTTCTATGTACAGTGCTCTTTTTCTGTTGGGAGCAGTGGAAGAGCAGCCGCCCATCAGCAACGTTGCTCTTATTTATTGAGAACCAAAGTTCTAGGTGTGGTACATATAGTATCTCATTTAATCGTTATGCCTAATTGAGATGAGTGCTATTAACTTTTTTTTCCATTTACTTTTCAGGAAACCCAAACATAAAAAGGTTAAGTAACTTCTCCAAAGACACACAGCTAGTATATATTTCATAAATAAAGGTAATGTTTTTGTCCAACGGTCATGCATTTACCTCACCTATGAATACATTCTCTTTTTTATATTTTTAATTTGTATCAAAGTAATTTGTGTATATGGCATTTAAAAATTGGTACCTGCAATGTTTTAGACAGGCTAGAACAGCCGTGGGCAAACTACGGCCCGCGGGCCGGATCCGCCCGTTTGAAATGAATAAAACTAAAAAAAAAAAAGACCGTACCCTTTTATGTAATGATGTTTACTTTGAATTTATATTAGTTCACACAAACACTCCATCCATGCTTTTGTTCCGGCCCTCCGGTCCAGTTTAAGAACCCATTGTGGCCCTCGAGTCAAAAAGTTTGCCCACCCCTGGGCTAGAAGGAAAAAGAATACTGCAAAGTCCCTAAGGCTGGTACTCAGATACTAGAGACACAGATGACAAAGTTAAGTTTCCCAGACCCTAGAAGAACTTCAACAATATCTGTGTTTAATATTTCCATGTGATGTGTTAAGCAGACATTGGGCTCTCTGGTGTATGAATGAAAGTCAGTGCCTGGTGTCCCTAAGCAGTGTCTTTGCTTCCAGCTTCCTGCTATCCCAGAAAGCCCTTGTCCCCACAGTACTAATTGGCTGGCAGGATTTTCTCTTCATCCTTGATAGTCAACACCTCATGACTTTCTTAAGTCCTAAAAGTTTTCTTCTATTGTTTATGTGATTATTACCTCTCCACATGTTCCTTATCTCCTTTCATCTGCTGATCCGACCTCCATGCAAGTTGCCTTTTTCCTCAAGGTATCTGTCACGTGTTTTCTTGTTCTAAAAATTTTCTTCTATTTTTTTTTAATAAATCTTTATTGTTCAGATTATTACAAT